ATGCATATATTCAGGTGCTCGATCACCTTCAGCCCCCGAGTCCCTCCATCTCCAACCTCCTAGGTTAAGCTCCGGCCCAGCTGATCCTCACTGTTGGAGGCTCTTCTCAAATGCAGACTTGAAGTCTCCCCAGGTGGGAGGACTTGGCCCTGGGTCTCCAATATTCCCTTTGGGTCCTCGGGATCAGCCCTGCCCACCTGGTAATGGCTCCGGGAAAGTCTTTTAGGAGGAAACCCTGGGCAAAGGGCCGGCCGTCTGGGATGGCTCCTTCTGTTGGCAGAGGGGTAGGCGGACACAGCCCCACGTCTTCCCAACGCGCTCCGTAAAACTGGGCGCCGTGACTTTGCCTGAAACCAGCCAAGTGCAAAAATAAAATTAAAAAAAAGATCGCTTTTGAGTACCCCTCCTGTGAGGGACCGGCAGCTCCCTTTTTTGGGGGAGTGTACCCGGGATTGCCGCTCTTCTTGATGGAGCCCTTAGTGGGCGAGGAGACGGTGGGAACCCGGGGGGTGGGCTGGCAGAGGTACCTGCAGGAGCTGAGCTCTGGAAGCTGGTCCTGGATGGTCACCTGGACTTGTCTCCCGCTGGATTCCTGCTAGATTCTTTCTGCCTCTTTGTTCCTCCTTGTAATTGGATCCTGCGGCACAAAGCCCTCTCCACTCTGAGTGTCCGTCATCCGTGACCTCAGCCCTTTGGTGGCTCAGAGTCTTGCTGCGAATGCAAACATTTAGGGAGGACCCAGCCGGACTCTGAATGCCCTCCTGTGAGCACCCCTCAGACTGCAAGACTCAGACGGGTCCATGTCTGGCTCGCAGCCCCTGACCCTTCTGCCGCTCTCCGGGCAGAAGCCCTGTCCCCTGGCTCTGGTCAGCTACGAGACTTGTTCATGCATCATTAGGACTCTCGATGCCCAGATCCGCCAGCAACGTCCACTGTGGCAGGAGAGGGTGGGAGGAGACGGGTGAGCGCCTGAAGTTGCACCCGACTGGGTGCTTTTAACCAGGGAGGTCCCACTGATGTCCACGTGTGTCTCCTCCACCCACGCGGTGGCACCTGCAGTAGTATCCGTGGAGAGACCTGTGACCGCAGCGTCTGTCTCCCCATGAGGACGTGGAGGTGTTGGTGGTCGGGACCCCTCTCCGTAGCTGCCCGTGGAGCCACATCTAGGCCAGGGCTGCAGACGGTCAGTCTGACCATTGCCCTCTCCTGCCTCACGGTATTGGATGCATGGACCGCGCTGGGTGCCACTCTACACACGTGGCAGCTGGCCACCCCCCACACGCTCCTGCCCAGGCCACCTGGGGAAACAGAAATCCAGCGTCCTGTGGAAGAGTGGCTCCTGTGTGTAAGTGTGTATGTGTGTATACATGTGGTGTCTATGTGTGTATGCATGCGGTGTGTATGTGTGTGTATATGCACACGGTGGGTATGTGTGTATGCATGTGGTTGTATGTGTACGTGTGTGTATGTGTGCATATATGTGTGTATGTGTGTATGTGTTTGTGTATGTGTATATATATGGTGCAAATATATAAAAATATGCAGAAATTCTGCGTGTATATATGTGCATATATACTCAGGTACATGTACACATATACATATATGCATGCATTTGTACATATGTGTGTACATACATATGCATAAATATGCAAACACACATTAACCAATATAATAATAAGCTCTTGGGCCTCTTTATGTAATATGCACCTAATATAGTATGATGCAGTATGTGTAATTAGTTTTTATATTTACATATATTTGCACTTTAGGTATACACACACGTGATATATTAAAACTCCCTGTATATAATTTGCATATGCATATGTAGATATACTAAGTTCAAGTGTATATATGTGTATATAAACTAATGTGAATTGATCATTTGTATACATATATGCACACTACACATGTATGTATATATGTGCCTGTATGCATACATATGTGTATAAACACTATAGGTGTATTGTGCACATATATGTGCAGTATAATACATGCATCTGCATTGTGTTTAATATATATATGTATGCATATGTATGGGTGTGTACATATATTCACACACACAGATTATCCTAACCACTGTTGTACTAAACATTTGGGCTCCTATATATAAGAATATATAATATGCACATATATCATATATAATAAGTGATCATACATAATATATAATATTCATATGATTTAGTGTATAATGCAACAGAGACTTTGTATATCTATGTATGTAGATGTTTGTCTGGGTGTGCAACACAGTAACGTATCCAGTTTCCTTTTCTCTATGGACCGTGTGTGGCGTATGTGATAAATTCACTTGCAAACTCTCGCGCACCAGATCCACGGAGCTGTGTGAGCAGAAGGGCAGGGTTCCGTGAGGGGTGCGATTGTGAACTGGGAACAAACCCGTGAGATTTCTCTGGGTGCCGTCGTGTGGATTCAAGCTGAGGACCATGGGGACCCATCCGTGTCCTGCCAGGGCAGGTTACAGGGTCTTGGGACTAGCCTTTCCCGTGCCCACGGCAGTGGGGGGGCATGTACGCCGGTTCTTTTGGGGTGACCAGCTTGTCATTGATTGAGCGCAGATCCTGTCCCCAAGGTGATGCCTTGTACCTGAGTGCAGGACCCTCTGTCCCCAGGCGTCTCTATTTCATCTCCAGCCTTGGAACAGGACAGTCTTTGGGATCAGGGCGTCTCCGTACCTAAAGCAGCTTCAGAGGTCTCTTGGTCCAAGGTCCAGTTTGTCACTTTGCACTTGACGGAGACAAAGCCCAAGGCACCCAGGGACGTGGCACAGGTCACTTGGCTAATTAGTCAGAGTAGCCTGATAATCTCTTGTACCGTCCTGCTCCTCTGGGCCCAGGACATGAGGAATCCATTCGTCCAGAGTATCCACAAGTTATATGCTACCCTCCTGTTACTCCCCTAGTAGTTTTCTTGGATTTCAGCTGGACTGGGTCTGTATTGCTCTTCTTGTGTTCAGGTAACCTTTTCTTACTTAATAACGACCCTCACGCTACATCACAATGCCTGGCACTCTCGGCACACTTCACCTCGTCACTTAGGCAGAGTTTCATCTCACATCATCATGAAGAGAAGGTTTAATAGAGTATTTGAAGCTATTTTGAGAGATGAAGAGAACAAATTCACATAACTGTTTTTTTGGGGGGAGTGCACCCGGGATTGACCTCAGGGTCACTCGACCCCTGAGCCCCGTCCCCAGCCCTATTTTGCATTTTATTTAGAGACAGGGTCTCCCTGAGTTGCTTAGGGCCTCGCTTTGGCGGAGGCTGGCTTTGACCTCGCAATCCTCCTGCCTCAGCCTCCAGAGCCCCCGGGATGGCTTGGCCATTCAGGTTCAAGGGTGGAGTCTAGCTATGACCTGTCCCGAGCGATATGGACCCTGTGATATCCTCATTCATGTTGACTGGCAGAACCATGTGGGACCCACCCTTCCACCTAGGGACCTCCCTCAGCTCACAGGAAGACCCTTCCCCTCACCCTGGCTTTTCTGAGTTGAACATGGATGGTGCCACGGGGAGAGCCAACACTGGTTAAAAGAGCAAGTGAGTTTTCAGGGACACCGAAGCCTGGGTCCCTGTCAAAACTCTCTGTTGCCGTCCTCTGTCTCTTAATTATGCAGAAATTGGATGTTGGCCTGGCACACGTCCAAATGTCGCCGACGGACGGTCGGGAGAGTTCAAAGATAGAAGCGAGCACGCCCGTCAGCCTCGGATGGGAGGCTGGTTTTCACTTTTTGGGTTGCAATCCCGATTCTGAGTCCGTTTTCATTCAACCCCAATTAACCAGGTCTAGGATGGCAGACACCCAGGCAGTCACCCTATCCCCAGGGTGAAGTTCTCAAAGAATGCTATTTAGTTGGGCGTGGTGGCTCACACCAATAATCCCAGTCACCCGGGAGGCCAAGGCCGGAGGATGGCAAGTTGGAGGTCAGCCTCAGCTACTTTGTGAGATCCTGTTCAAAAGGAATTGGGGAGGTAACTCAGTGGAAAAGTGCCTCAGATTTCAATTTCTAGAATCCCCCAAATCTATATATGTTTGTACCCACACATACATGAAGGTACTTCTTGCAAAAATCAATGAGCCGTTTTCCATCTTTAAGACACCATTTCCGTTTACAGTACGGTTTACTGGTGCACAACCTCATCAACTGTCTTAAGAATGAGGTAATCAAATTATCCAGGTCCAGACCAAGGAAGCGGGTGCGATGGGCACCCAATGTGTCCGCCATGTTTTTTCATGGCTTCTTCAAAGCTCACCATGAATGTCATCCAAATCCACCCTCCGTTCTTTGCAGCATGTGCAGTATGAAGAATTAAACCCTCTGAGCACACATTGATGTCCCCAGAAATCGGGATTCAGGGGTCAACCCTTTGACAAATGGCTTCTCCCAGCGACAAGACTTTGGCATGCTCTTGGGATGCGCCATCTTGTTTAGCGATGTCTGAAGAAGCTCCGATTCAGGGAGGTGAGACGGGAGGTCCATGTGGGTCTTCAACTAAGTACTCCAAGGAGCATTCAGGTCCCCATGAGGGGATGTACCTTTTTGTGGCATCTCATCAATAGCCACACGTCATGGCGCCTGATGGGCCTGGGTGTACGCTCCCATTTCTCCCCACAGTGGAGACACTTGGAGCGACCCGCGAAGAGATGGTTCCCTTAAACACTGGAGAAACGTTGGGCATCAATCCACCCACTGGACCTTGGGGTGCGGGTCCTTTCTTAACATCGAGAGATTTCTTTGTTCCTTCGACGATGACGTGTTGAGTTCACGGCTTGCGTTTGGGGTTCGCGTCCAGCAGATGGGGTGGGAGTTACCGTGAAGGCCAGTGACCTTCTTGGTAATTTCTACTTGGGGAAGCTGCACTTGGCTGAATCTTACTGAATGAGAATTTCCTTCAAGGACTCTGTGGGTTTCCTGGCAGAGCCAGCCAAGGGTAGAGGCCCATAGCCTTCTTTCTTTAACCTTCTCTACTTTCTCTCTTTTTTAGGTTGCTTTGGAGTCTTCGTAAGGAATTCTTGTTGGATGGTCACCATTTCCCTGGACAGCATCCCCCCTTGTGGAAATCAGGCTGCAGGATTAAAGGATCCTTGCCCCCTGGCGATGGGCACCCAACACGTCCGCCATGTTTTTTCCTAACCTTGGGCTTCTCCAAGAGCCGTGAGTGAGGTGGCCTCTCCTGGGTGGCCTCTCCTGGGTCCTTGACCCCCCCCCCCAATCCCTCTCTCCCCAACTGGCGTCCCGTCGGCACACTCTCTCCCTGGACTCCTGTCCCTTGGACACCCTGCGGATGTGCCTGTGAGCCATGTCGAGGCCCAAGGGATTGTTATGGCTCCCGTTGTTCTTCACCCCGGTCTGCGTCATGCTCAACTCCAACGTCCTGCTGTGGATCACCGCCCTCGCCATCAAGTTCACGCTCATCGACAGCCAAGCCCAGTACCCCGTCGTCAACACCAACTACGGCAAAATCCGGGGGCTAAGAACACCATTGCCCAATGAGATTTTGGGTCCCGTGGAGCAATACTTGGGGGTCCCCTATGCCTCACCTCCTACCGGGGAGAGGCGGTTCCAGCCCCCAGAACCCCCTTCCTCCTGGACCGGTGTCCGGAATGCCACCCAGTTTGCCGCCGTGTGCCCTCAACACCTGGATGAGAGGTCTCTCCTGCATGACATGCTCCCAATATGGTTTACAGCCAATCTGGATACTTTGATGACTTACGTCCAAGACCAAAATGAAGATTGCCTCTACTTGAACATCTACGTGCCCACAGAAGACGGTAAGTGCTTCTCTTATGGCCTGTCCATGCGAATTTTCCTCCAACCTTTCTGCTTAACTACGTTTCCGATGCAGGGCATAGTTATTATAGCAATGTATCCCAGGTCTCATGCACATTCACCAAGTTGCTAATGGACCAGCCAAACTGTAATTAATGACTGTAATTATTTTAATGAATTGGTTTCTAAGAATGGTCTACAGGCTTTCATTACAGGTGCTAATTAGCATGAGCTTAGAATGTTCTGTGCTAACCCTGAGTCATCGGGGAAGGGATGAATCTATAGTAGCGTTAAGGACATTATTATCCTTGTGTCTGAAAAAAACGGAATGAGAGAATGGATGGTCGTTTCTGCTCTGAGGACTTAAGATACTATGATTGTTTTTTGAGTCTTGGGAATGGATAAAAAACATGGTTTTTAATATCCAAGAAATGGGTAGGGCATAAAGCGGTTGTTGTTCACTGCTCAAGATTCATCTCATCCATGTGAATTTGGATTATTTTTTTATTTTTCTCCTGTTCACCACAGTCAGATGGCAGATGTAGGTATTCAGAAGATTCCCGCTACGTTAGGTAATAGTGGGCAGCTTTCAAGAAGCACTTCCCTTCCACAGAGCAGCAATGACAATCTGTAAAAAATAGAAAATAAAATAAAATAAAATCAGGCTCAACACATTCACTCCATCTCACGACTGATAGGGCTAGTGACGCGTTGGTCTCCATCTCGTCCTTTGGTTCTCTGATGGAGGGTCCGTTTTCGCCACTGTCTCTGGGAAACATTGGGTGGGAGGTCTAGCATCCACGTCCCTGGACACTGTCCCTCCCTGGTCCCCAACGTCCACTGCTTGAGTGCTGCGGTTCTTCCCCCATTGCGATGCAAGGAAGCGAGAGTCCCCAGGCTACAGGAAAGCCAGATTGTGGGTCCCGGGTGTCACCAAGAAAGACCCACAGGGACAATTGAGAGGACCATCCCTCGTGCTGTGAGTCCTCTGTGGCTTCTCTGCCTTGTTGTCACGGTGACAGACGCTGAGTGACCAGGTCTGAATGTGACTCAGGGCTCAGGGAGCTGACCCTGGAAGCCCTGGTGTCTCCGCCCAGACCACCTTGGACACAGTAGGTCACCCAGCACGAAAAGCCAGGAGCCTCTCTGGTTAGAGAACCCCGTGTCCACCACCATCTGACCAGAGACCCAGAACCTTCTGGCCATTGCTTTCGGATTCAGCATGGCCCTGGAGCTGGGGGGAATTTTTTTAAAAAGGCAGGAGAATGCGACCTCGTGGAAAAGGCATTTCTAGTTAACGCGGAACCCGGTTCTGCTCACTGGGCGCTCTCCACTGCGTGGGGCCATGTGCGCGTACGGTCCCGACCCGGGAATTGGAAATCTAACAGGGGCCCAAGAAGACGAATGGGTTTCCCAAAACTATGTGAATCATGGACTTTGGCTGGTGGGAGTCCAAAGCCAGAATATTTACACACACGCACACACCCACCCCCCAAAAAAAACACAGTCTATCAATCAATCAATCAATACCTAATACACTTTTTTGCTCCTGTGAGCAAAAGACCTGAAAAGCACCCTTTTTTAGAGGAGAAAAGTTCTTTTTGAGGCTCAGAGTTTCAGAGGTCTCATTCAAAGATGGCGGACTCCATGGCTCTGAGTCCAAGGTGAGGCAGAGCATCATGGCGGAAGGGAAAAGATGCTCAGGATGTGGCCACCAGGAGACAGAGAAGTCTTTGTCTTCTCACCACAGGCAAAACATGAACCCTAAAGGCACAGATCAGTGGCCCACCTCCTCCTGCCCTACGTGACTTGTGCACTTGAGTCAATCCACATCAGTGGATTAATCCACTTACTTGATTAAGACTCTCATAACCCAATCATGGCACCTGTGAACTTTCTTGCATTGTCTCACACATGAGCTTTTGGGGGACGTCTCATGTCTAAACCACAATTGTGAGCTTTGGGGGGACATCTCATGTCTAAACCACAACCATGCATATCCTTATTTTTATTTTTATTTTTTCATGGCACTGATGATTAAGCCCAGAACATCATGCAAGTGTTTTACATACTCTGTTTTTTTTTTCTTCAAAAGCAGAATAATTGCACCAACTTCCCTTTAAAATAAAGCAGGTCTTGCGGAAGGGGGTGTTCACTGGTAAAAACCAGGACCTACTCAACTGAGGCTCGATTCTTGAAATTACCAATTTTAACGAATTTCTACCTTGTAGGTGTCGAGACGTTATTCATGTTTTTTTTGCAGATGATTCATTTCTCTTTGGGGGCCAAGGGGCAGATGGACTAATTAGCTTTGAGTAGCATATTTAACCTTCTGATAGTTGTGCGGAGAAGGTCACAGTGCGTCAGCCCCACGGGGTACAGAGGGGCGCGTGTGAACACCGTCGTTAACAAGAGAAGGGATTTAGCCAGGATCCGCTCAGGGTGTGGGGCGCAGAAGAGTGACCCCATGGGGGCAGGAATGCAGGGTATGGCTTGAACGTTTGAGTAGCCAAGCTCCGAAAGTCTGAGAATAATAAGTCCCTTGTTAGTTCATAAAGGAGGGATGACATTGGAACTCACGATGACTGTCAATCAAGAGGTTGATGAATGCAGAAATGTCATCTATGGGAACTCCCTCATTTTATTGGGGACTCTTGGTTTTGTTTAGAATCAGAGTTAAAAGGAAAAAGGGAATATACCAGGCGTGGTGGCTCACACCAGTAATCCCACAGTTTGGGAGGCTGAGGCAGGAGGATTGTGAGTTCAAAGCCAGCCTCCACCAAAGCGAGGCTGTAAGCAACTCAGGGAGACCCTGTCTCTAAATAAAATGCAAAATAGGGCTGGGGAGGGGGCTCTGTGGTCATTTAGGGGAACAGTGTTTTCCAGAGAAGTGGATGGGGTGTCCACCTGGCTGAGCCGTACCCCGAGGCGTCACGAGATCCAGGCGGGCTTCCTCCGTAGGTGATATGATCAGTGGACGTTGTGAATGTACAGGTCTAGGAACGTGGACCAGCTGAATCCGGATTCCTGCCGTCCTGACTGCTTGTTGGAAATGTGCCACGCAGGAGTCCTGTTTCCAAGCCTGGTAAGATCCTCCAAGGTCAGTGGCTCTGGCTGGAAATGTCTCTACAGCTTGCAAAATGGCGACCATGAAAGGGAGGCTGCAGGACTCCAGAGAGGTTGATCACCAAGAGTCCACTACATCAAGGCAGAATGAGCTCGGGTCTCATCGACGGCATTAGATAGACATCAGGATACAATTTCTAGCACAGTATTCATCCTTTCAACTCCCCCACCCTTTCTGAAATCCCTACAAACATCAGGATGTTTGGTCTCCAAGGGACCGGATTCTACCCAGACTCCTCTGGCCATGTGGGGGAAAAGGTGACCATTTGTCGGAGGGCCACTTGTTTGCTGTGACTTGTTGAGATTTGGATATGAGGTGTCACCCAAAAGCTCTTGGTGAGACCATGCAAGAATATCCACAGGTGAAATAATCAGGTTATGAGACACTTAACCTGGTCAGTGGATTAATCCACTTGAATGGACTCACTGGGTGGTGACTGCAGCAGGTGGGGTGTGGCTGGAGGAGGGGGTCCCTGGGCTGTGCCTTTGGAGTCTCTGTCCTGTCCCTGGTGAGCAGAGCTCTCTCTGCTCCCTGGTGCCCTGTCCTGAGCTGCTCTCCTCCTCCAGGCCCTGCCGCCATTTTGTTCTGCCTCCCCTTGGGCCAGAGCCATGGAGTCGGCCACCAGGGACTGAACCTCGGACACCGTGAGCCCCAGATGAACTTCTCCTCCTGTAAGATGTTCTGCTGCGTCTTTTGGTCCCAGCAATGAACAATCTGAGTAAAGCACAATTCATTGCAAATTTAGAGAATCCAGATTCGGGAATGTTATGGGTGTGACTTAACCAAGACGTGACTGGAACCAAGAAATTAAAAAAAAAAAAAAAAAAAAACAACAACAACAACCCACGTCTTCCTGCCTGGTTGGTGGCTTCTCTCTTTGAAGGGTGAGCTGAGCCTCTGCCCTACAGGAGCCGAGTGTTAGATTCTGTGGTTCTCAGCTGCCCAAGTGGGGAACACAGTGTTTTTAATTCCATTATAAGAATTCCAGGAAACAATGAGTTTGTTTTTTTGTGCTGGGGATTGAACCCAGGGGTTCTTAACCCCTGAGCCACATCCCCAGCCATTTTTTTGCATTTTATTTAGGGTCAGGATCTTGCTAAGTTGCTTAGTGCCTCGCTAAATTGTGGAGGCTGGCCTTGAACTGGCTGTCCTCCTGCCTCAGCCTCCTGAGCCACCAAGGAAGAGATTTGATTGGCTGGTTGGCTCAGGGACCCACACTGGGCCAGAGAAAGAGTGGGGAATCTGGGGTGCTCAGGTGGAACAGATGGATGGGACAGGGGATGGGTGGGGCAGTTCTCATGATAACAAGGAACAGGGTTGATTTATCTTCAACACCCAAGATATTTCCTAGCACCTATTCTACGCCGAGCATGCGGAGCTTACATTAGACTCAGAAATCCCTAATTCTGAAAAATACCAGCCGAATACTAGTCCTGGGAGGTTGTGCAGATTTCCTGAGACCTGTGAAGGTCACCTTCGATGGACCCTGGCCTTGCAATACTGTGATTTCAGCAATGATTTTAAGCAGCAGCAGGAGAAGATGGTTGCAGGTGGAATTAACATGTGTCCATCAGCTGAGCTTAAAATCAGGACGTGGTGGTGCCTACGGGTAATCTCAGCAACTCGGGAGGCTGAGGAAGGAGGATGGCAAGGTCGAGGCCAGCCTCAGCAACTTACCCAAATCCTGTTACTAAAAAGATAAAGAAGGGATGGGGGTTTGGCTCAGTGGTTAGGCACCCCTGATACCACAAAAAAAATGTTGATAACAATAATAAGCATTTCCACCTTATTGATCCTGGGTACTTAAAAGTAGGTCTTTGCTTGAAGCCTGTGAAGGACAACTGAATGTCAACTTCCCAACTGATCTTAACAAAA